AAATTTATGTACATAATAAACCATGACATGTTCGTTAACATTTGTGAAATTCATATATAAATAGATATATACATATACTTGGTGAATGCGTGTGCTTGCAGTACAGTTGACGAACAGCAAATAATAATACTAATAAATATTTATGGTTATAATGAAATGAATCTCGACAACAATAGTAATGAGAAGAATGTCTAAATGAGGTTAACGTTTATGTCAGTCAATAAAATGAACATAGCGGGCAGGTTTACAGATCTGCCGTCCACTGCGTGTCTGTACAGGGGGAAGAGTGAAGAGAGGGAGAGTTGGAGTTGAATTGACTTTCTGATTGTTCATTGGTGTCGGCGTTGCTAGTGTTTCATGTTCGCTGTCGGTGTACGCTGGTTTAAGACGGTCGATAGAAACAGTCTCCGGTTTACCATGTTTGTTCAGCGTGAAGTATTTATCGGTGCGTTTAAGTACTAGAAAAGGACCTTCATATGGATGCTGTAAACCTTTTCTAATGGCATCGACGCGAACAAATACAAATTTGCTAGTGAGTAGATTCTTATTAACTTGAGCTTTCTGAAGTGATTGGCGAGGGGCTACTGGTCGAAGCTGGAGCATTTGCTGGGTAAGGCGGTTGGTGAAGTCGGAGATATTTACTTCAGTTGAATCATTAGACGGAACTAACTGACCAGGCAATGTGAGGGTAGTACCATACACAAGTTGAGCTGGTGTACATCCCAAATCTTCTTTTACAGTTGATCGGATACTGAGAAGAACTAATGGTAGGTGTTCACTCCACTTAGATGAGTCAGCTTGTGCCATAAGCGAGCTTTTCAGTTGTCGATGGAAACGTTCCACCAGACCATTCGCTGCAGGATGATAAGCTGTAGTGGAGATATGGTTCACTCCAAGGAGTCTCGTAAACTCTCGAAACAGAGTTGATTGAAATTGAGCTCCTCGGTCTGTTGTAATAGTTGTGGGTACTCCGTAGTTTGACACCCAGCGATCTAAGAAAACCAAAGCGATATTTTCTGCAGATATATCGTTGAGTGGACAAGCAATAGCCCATCGGGTAAATCGATCAATCGCAGTAAGTATATGAGTAAATCCTCTGGATGGCGGTAATGGTCCAATAATATCTATATGAACGTGTTGAAATCGTTTATCCGGTAAATTGAACTGTTTTGGAGGTGTGACGGTATGATGATGTACCTTGGATCTTTGACATTGCAAGCATTGGCGGGCCCATTTCCGAATATCGGAGTTCATCTTGGGCCAAACAAAACGCTCGCTGATTAACTTGACCGTAGCACGCACTCCAGGATGAGACAATGAATGTAGATGTTCAAACAAAGGTTTTCGACAACTTAGTGGAACAAAAGGTCTATGAACGCCCGTTGAAACGTCGCAGACGATAGTTGTATCAGACAGGGGAATAGGTACATCCTGCAACTGTAGGGAGGAGTTTCGTCTACAAGTATGGAGTTCGGCGTCATTTTTCTGCAGCTTGGCAATATTGTCTAAGCTAATATCTATCGAAGATAGGTGATTAACGTCACATCGAGACAAAGAATCGGCTACGATATTGGAATCTCCTTTGATGAACTGGATGTCTGTTGAGAATTGTGAGATGTAATCCAGTTGTCTGGCTTCTCTCGGAGAGTGTCTGTCCAACGAAGTGGTGAAAGCATAACAAAGAGGCTTATGGTCGGTTAAGATAGTAAAATGTCGACCTTGTAGTAAGAAGCTGAAATGTTTCACTGCTAGGTAGATGGCTAACAGTTCTCTGCCAAAAGTGCTGTAACGAGTTTGCGCAGGTTCCAACTTCTTGGAGAAGAAAGCAAGTGGAGTGATGTCATTATTGAACTTTTGTTGTAAAACTGCTCCCACTGCTACCTGCGATGCATCTGTACATAAAATGAGTGAAGCTTCTGGGTTGATATGAGATAACATTACAACGTTGGATAAGGCATCTTTTGCATTATTAAATGCTGCTTTTGCTTCTTCAGACCACTGAAATTTCTTCGAATTGCATCTAAGTAGGTCGGTCAGTGGCTGAACTATGGAGGCACATGATGGAATAAAACGTCGGTAGAAGTTGAACATCCCGAGAAAACGTCTAAGTTTCTTTAAGGAATCAGGTTCGGGAAAGTTCTTAATAGTTTTTATCTTATCTTCGGTAGGTCTGATGCCTTCGGCAGTTATTCGATGTCCTAAGAATTCAATGGAAGGGGAACCAAAAATACATTTCTTTGGATTGATAACAACTCCAAATTGTTCAAACCTTTGAAATAACAGGCTTAAGTGTTGCATATGTTCTTCCATCGATGAGCTGGCAATTAAGACATCGTCGATATATACAAAGACGAAATCAAGACCTTGGGTAACTTGGTCCATAAAACGCTGAAATGTTTGAGCAGCATTCTTTAGTCCGAAAGGCATTCTCAAGAATTCGAATAATCCAAAAGGCGTGATAATTGCTGTTTTTGCAATGTCTTCTGGAGCGACTGGTATTTGATGATATGCCCTGACCAAGTCAACTTTAGTAAAAATGGTCTTTCCATGTAAGGTCAAGGAGAAGTCGTGGAGATGAGGTATAGGATAACGGTCTGGGACCGTAGCGTTATTCAAAGCGCGATAATCTCCACATGGTCGCCAGTCATGATTAGTTTTAGGTACCATGTGCAAAGGTGAAGACCATGGGCTGTTAGATGGTCGTATGATACCTAGCTGCATCATATGTTCGAATTCCGACTTAGCTGCTGCTAGTTTATCGGGTGGTAACCGTCGTGGACGTGCCTTCACAGGTTGTCCTGTTGTGATGATCTTATGCGTAACTGTATGAGATATATCTTCGACGTTGTATGATGGTTTAAGGATTTTAGGAAATCGTTGCAATAAAGCAGAGAACATTTCACTCTCCGGCTTTTCTATACAGATGCTATGAACAGAGTAGTCACATGTAATACCGTGGATCTTGAGTTGGGTGCAATTGTCAACCAGTTTTTTCTTGCTGATATCAACCAACAGATTGAAGTGACTTAGGAAGTCTGCACCTAGTATAGCGTGACGTACGTCAGCTACTATGAAGATCCATGTGAAACGTCGGCGTAATCCTAGGTTTAAAATCATTGACTGTTCGCCATACGTCTGTATGTTGGTTTGGTTGGCAGCACGGAGTGAAAGTTTTCCAGGTATTTTGGCTGATCGCCTGGATAGTGAGGGGGGAATAACACTGACCTCGGCGCCTGTATCTACCAGGAATAATGTGCCGGTAGTCAAATCCCTCACATAGAAAAGGCGACTGGGGTGATTGCCAGTAACAGCCGTCGCCATTACTGTCTGGCTGGGGAGTTTCCCTGAGATGAGTTACTACTGTTGTACATACACGGTCGAAGACACTTCAGGGCATTATGCCCATACCTCCTATGATACCAACAAATGTTACGGCTTTGGGACGGTGTTCTAGAACGTCGTCTAGATCTTGATCGCCGTTGCTTGGATACCGTATGTGACTGGTTCCTTTGTGCTCGAAGCTCGGACACTTCCAGTCGTAAGTCTTGCATTTGAGATGTTAACTGGGAAAGTAACCAGAAAAGTGGTGCGTCCTTCATAGATGTGGAATCCGGCAAGGCGGTAACAGAAGAGTTCTGTGTCACTTCGCCTTTATGAAGTTCTTCGGGAAAAGTGACACGTTTATATGGAGCCATTGTCAAAAAATATTTAAGTATAGAGATATACAAAATAGCAAAACTTGTGGTAACAAAAATTAAAGCAATGCGAGTTTATAAGGCCAAAATAGCAACAAAAATGTTCAAAACGAGTTAACTATCGAAACAAAAAGGTTCGAAAACGGGTTAACCATAAAAAAGGTTCGAAACGGGCTCACCAATTATTGTGGTGGACCTTTTACTCTGTTAGCTTAGTTACCCAAATTCAAATAGAAAATAAAGTACCAAATCAGTTTAGTTACGGGAAGAATGTATTAAAGTTTGGTTACTTGGGTTTACAAAGATCCAAAGTCCACAATAAACGTAATAGACTCCAGGTGCTGCGGGAAGACTGCTCCAGTACTAATTCTCCAATGTTGACGTTGCCGGAGGTCGACCAAAGTACGTAGGAAGAACTACGGTGCTCCTGCAAAAATTTGAGATAGAAAGCAGGTGATTAAAATTGATCGACGGCAGTTGAGATGGTGGAGAAGACGGAGAGTCGAAGGCAGAACTATATATTTATTCAAAACCCGAGGTAAAGTTCAAAGTACAGAGTTTATGGTTAAAACAAAGTAGTGTAAAATATGTTCATTTCTTACATAGTAGTAAAATTTGGATAAGTTTATTTTTGAGGAATCCACACACTAACGCAAGATGAAATACCCACATCCCTAGGGCATTCGTTCCTCGTAGACTGAAGACAAAGCGAAACCCTGAATTGATCGTCCCAACTACGAGATATATTTCAGGAGCAGAACGGTGTAAGAGATGATTTCCGGACTATTTAGAGACCATGCTTGAACGTAACAGGACAGTGTGTCAAATGGCGTAAATGCTCGATCGGAGGCCTCCAGTCAAACAAGTTGACTTAAACAGTGAGGGTCATCATCGTACGTTCAGTGATTTTTGGGAATTAGTTACCGCTGTAATACCATAGCTGTACATAACGCTATAGATTAAGAGAAAATGCATCATGGGAATAAGTAAAAGACTGTATCGACCCTCTCTTATTCCAAAGAGGCAGACATGATTTTATTAGGAGTGACTTCTCAAAGCATCCCATGTATCTGATTGCTTTTGAAGGTAAACTTTTGGCAGACTTCGGCTATGTCACTTTTAATTCACTATAAACTCTCAATAATAACAAGACATCAGTGCCAAAAAGCAGTAATTTTCTAGAGGGTTTCATCAAATGTATATAAGATAGTTAGGCTGGACTTATGTGTCACGTTGGTAGAAACTTCGCCTGGAAAAACTTCAGTCAATGAGTTTTATAAAAATTTTGTCATACGTTATTTGGATTGATGTGAATTCCTATTTCCTGACTACTTGTGTTATGAAAGCAAATTGAATGTTGTACAAGACTTTCGTACCTTATTGAATTTTGCGGTACATTGGTGGTGAGTGTGCGTATAATTAAAAAGAACATTTATGGTGATTTTATATGAAACCAAAATGGAAATATGACTGCATGGAACTTATATATTCTAAGTTAAAACGTGGTTAAGAAGATTTTGCGCCTTTTTATCACTTGATTTTCTACCTACACAGAATGACGTCACATTTGTATTCTCTTGGGGGTTTAGATGACTGTAAACTATGGCGTCCCAAAACAAAACTATTTCTGACGGCCAATCAGGTTCTTTAGAAGCGGGAGTGCTTAATTTCAAATAAATGTCTATATACAAGTAATGCAATGTTAAAAATTTTTTGCATAAGATTATATTCTTTGTGTTCCAAGGACCTCCCATTTTCTCACAGGATTCTTTACAGTCAATTTAGACCGACGTCTTAACATAAACTCTACAAGGTGTTCAATCTGTTCCCTATGTAGTTTCGTTTTGGGTCGTTTAAGTTTAGAGTCACCGGGGTTTTCTTTGGATAGACTACAGCTTATTAGAATCAGTTAACATGCTTAGTTTCATTTTTAATATCCCTAGAGCTCAATATTTTTTCACTGGTTGGTGTGTCACCTTTATATCTCCGCACGTATGTCCGTTGATGTGCTGGTAATGTCAGGCTGTTCGAAAAGACAGACGATCTAAAGCTCATTGGTTTTATCACAGTTTCGTGGAATATACCGTATTTTATGTTGTCACTTACATCAAGGCGTGTATAGATATTTTACTTGTGTCAGCTATCATGGTTCTCTTTTCGGGTAATGCTGCAAAGTTCGCACCTTGGTGTGTTGTTTTCAATGGACAGTGGCATTCGTCATTCGAGTATCCCTATAGCTGTTGCTCCAGGTTCAAGTGATTAGTATTTTTTCGCTTAGAAATCCCACTGTCTGCACCACGCACGTTCTTCGTAGTTGGAAGTAGCTGCTACGGTTCTGTAAAATATATGGAGCAATCCCGTATATTTACAAGAGGAGGTAATGTGAAACAATATGGCTTCCTTCACTGTCTCTTTATGCTATAATGCAGTTATGTAATTCCATTGATCAGCGTTATAACGCAGTTATTTTAAGTGAAAGATCAACCCGCTTAATACCGTAGTTTCCTGTCTTTGCAAATGTATTGCCACTGATAGGTATTTCTATATCCACAACATCCAGAAGTAGCCGATTCATGTCTTAGTCTTCTTGAATATACGATATTTGTAGTTCTTTCATATTCTTCTTTTCTGGACCTCTAACATACACAAGTATTCTCTGACGTCATGTGTAGGGTAGATTTTTTGATTGTAGCACCGTAATTTGGAAGTAGTTTGACCGTGGTAATATCCTGACTTAGTTCTGTGCCATTGAACATAATCATATATAGCTTTTACAGGGATTATATTTTCATCTTCCTACCTAACTGATCTTGGCTTGCTGAAATTAACCCTGATTTCCTTCACGAACGGAAGCTCTTTTTTATTTTCCTGTAAATATAATACGCTCTTCGTTTCTGACCTTGGGTAGACTTACTTTGCGTACGTTATCGTTAAGCTGTTAAATCGTGTAGGATGTTATGCATGCACTTTCTTTTAGGGTCCAGAAGTAATCAGTAGTATGATTTTTTTAAAGTAATAATGTGGGTTGTGGCGAAAACCGGTTATGTACTATTAAAACAGTTCAAGAAATGTACAAATCTTAGAGACGGGCATAGTATTAGGATTAGTAGATAATCAAAACGTTACACAACAGAGCAAGAATTTTAATAAGAGACTATTGCAGAAAAATTAGATTAAGTAAATAAATATGACATGTGAAATTAAAGATAACAATCGCAGTTTAGTGTTTAAGTTAGACCATCTACACTTATCTCAACGTTGCTCTTCTTTAGCAGAGTTAGTGAAGTTTGAGGGTATTCGCTTTGTCTAGATCTGCCTTTTAGTTCCTTGGGGATATTTTTCACCGGTCTCATTAAATGCTCGTAGCAGGTCCTTACCAAGGGTACTAAGAATACTCTTTTCTCACCTAAATAACTGTCACATGTAGTGGCTTTCAGTTCAGCTCATAATCTTATCATTCTTGTAAGTGTTTATAGTCTGCTTATTTGAATTACCGTAATATATTTTCATAGTAAACTGTAGCCAAATTTTTAGGGGATAGACTCAGATGGAGATATAAAGTATGCTAGCTTACTTTCACCCGATTGTCACTGCCTCCTGCATTTTGACAATTTGTGAGATTAGTGGGATTTCTCCCGGGGACAAGTCATGAAAAGGGGTAAACCAACGGGGTAGAGCGATGATCGGAAAAGCTTTGCGTGCACATAGAAGCGTGTTGGGTGTTTTTCCTTTAATGCACTCCACACTTTGGAAGTCCTTTTTTGGAGCACCTAAAACAGGTAGGGCATTAGTGTTGTGTGACCACAAAGCCCAAGGGTAACTACTTGATAACCTTCTCAAGGTCTGTCTGTCTGTCTGGATTCAACATAGAACTTGGCACCGAAGTGCACCAGTTCGAGTTGCCACCTTCCAAATAGCACACAGAGGTAGACAAGAAGATGAGTGAAGAGAATCAATAGAGTTTGACAAGTATAAGAGTGAAACAGAATGGGTAATGGTAGAAAGGAATATGAAAGATTACAGAGACTGAATACATCTCCGCTGGCCATTGACAACGATTTTGAGCCATGCCACCTATTGTCTCCAGCCATTGATTCCTAGAGTCCCGAGGGCCCCAACCCGGAAGTCTGCATCTCCCTACCTGACTCATTTTAACTGTCAAGGATTTGATGGATTGATGAGGCCATGTTTTTGTTTGGCCACCACTGGCTCTTTTCCAACCTGAACCTATATCAGCTAATAATGCCCGTCGGAGGTGGGGGGCGATGGTTAGGCATGCGCAGCACGTAACCGACCTAGCCATCTCAATCTATGTAACTTTATAGCCTCGTCGATTGATTTTCCCTGTTTACCCAACACTCTACGACTAGCGTCAACATTACTTCCCTTGTGAAACCACCTAACGTGAGACAGAGATCGCAGACATCTATGATCGAAAGCAGTCAACCTTTTCATGTCTTCAACGCGTATTGGCCATGTTTCAGAGCCATAGACAAGGACGGAGCGAACTGATGAGCAGTACACACGTCCCTTGGTTGATAACCGGATGTCACGCCTACGCCAGAGATGGTGTAAGTCAGCGAAAGCAGGTAAGTCAGGACGTACACTTTTTGGCGTCGATCTTTACTAACTCTTCTCTCCACAATGGAGAGGTAGCATAGGTGGCTTGCTGGTTATATCAGTGGAACACTTAGGTGCTTTTACATCCCTATTCAATGGCAGTACGACTTTGTACAGAGACCTCGAGCATAGTGTAAACGACTTACACTATGGTGATAACTGCTTTTTATTTGATCGCTATCCTTTCTGGCATATTAAGACCTGCAGGAACGTTCCTCCTTAGCGTGTTAACTTCGTTGAGTCGTCGCAATGTGCAAACTCGACCACCACATCCAGGTGACAAGTCACAATGCCTTCAAATGGCTTGGATAAGCCAAGGCACCGAAACAGTTTGCCTCTAGCTTAATTCAGCTTAAAGGCTCAGGGAAGTAATATTACATTCTTCTACTTGGAAATACTGACGCGACACATATCGGTACATATGTAGCACATACTAACAATTGGATATATAAGAATATTCTAAAACCAATGCCTCTCCTTAATTACCGAAAAATATCAGTTTCTCTCAATGGATATTTTAAAAAATTATCTAGCATTTCCTTGAAATGAATTTGTAAAACAGGTAAAGGTGTCCGGATAAAGTATCAGTTTCTAAATTTTGTGTATGAGAAGCTCAAGTTTACATGGAAACTCCAATGATCAAAGTTTGAGTGCTACTTTGTGAGGAACCAAGAGACAGTTGTTATTTGCAGGAGTTCAACCGAGTTAAGATATTACTCTACAGGTTTTTTTTTGAAGGGTATAAATACCTACGCTGCTCCACACTTGGTGTCATGAAAAAATAGGAACACATCCAGTCACACTGATTGCTCATTACAGGATACTTCAGACTGCGTTGAGCTGTTTGTATGTAGTTGTAGTAAGGACCCGATGCATAAGTGAAGTATTTAAAATGAAACATATCTTCTTCATCCAAGCATTTAAAAATGCTGCATTAGAATGAAGCTGTTCATAGCCTTTTCACTGAAACTCTCTACGGACATTCACAAGTTCTTGGACTTTGGGTGGTATAAAACTTGGGCACTGTGGTAGAGTATAACTCCATAATGGATAAGATTTTATTTTGCTAAGTCACACAGTGTTGTACAGTAATATTAACTGATGACGTTTCGAGCACAAATTATTGCCATTCATAATCATATCAAGTCGCTCACACAGCATTTTCCTCCATTTATATGCAGGTGTGGAACTGACTAAATATTTGAATAAAAATCAATGTAGGATAATGTACATTCAGAAATAATAATAATATGAGTTTTATCAATCAAGTACAATCAGATGGGAAATAAGATGAGTGCTTTTATGGTCAAAATAAGTAACTTGTTAGAATGTTGTGATGTGCTTGAATTGAATTGAAGTAGAATTCTGAGATTATTTATTATGCTCCTCTGATTTGACTGACTGGCCGTAATATCTTCCATATCACTGGTATTTGCATTAAGTCATTTCTGTTGCATGGGTCGTGTCGATGAACCAGGATTCAGTAATCAATCTCTCTCTACCTCCACCTACCTTTATTACTTCTTAATTTTAACCCTCTCCCGCCAAAACCTATTTTGTAGTTGTGTGTCAATGCATACTATACTGTTGCTGAGCTTTTTTCTAAATTACATATCTTCTCGGGTGAGGTCAACCATTCTTACCTTAGCTAAATTCTTATGTTCTGGTAATATTACCACTCCTGACCGACTGGTTTGACCTGTGTAGCGGACTTAACTCACAGTCATTGCACGGTATTTTGTAAATTATATATTATTTTGTTTAATTGGGTCCGTTGGGTCTCTCTTTCTCACGTTAGGTGGTTTCACAAGGTAAGTAATGTTGACGTTAGGCGTAGAGTGTTGGGCAAAGAGGGAAAATCAATCGACGAGGCTATAAAGTTACATAGACTAAGATGGCTAGGTCACGTGGTGCGCATGCCTAACCATCGCCCCCCACCTCCGACGGGCATTATTAGCTGATATAGGTTCAGGTTGGAAAAGAGCCAGTGGTGGCCAAACAAAAACATGGTTTCATCAATCCATGAAATCCTTGACAGTTAAACTGAGTCAGGAAGGGAGATGCAGACTTCTACGAAACAATGGCTGGAGACAATAGGTGACATGGCCCAAAATCGTTGTCAATGGCCAGCGGAGATGTATTCAGTCTCTGTAATCTTTCATATTCCTTTCTACCATTACCCATTCTGTTTCACTCTTATACTTGTCAAACTCTATTGATTCTCTTCACTCATCTTCTTGTCTACCTCTGTGTGCTATTTGGAAGGTGGCAACTCGAACTGGTGCACTTCGGTGCCAAGTTCTATGTTGAATCCAGACAGACAGACCAGGTCTTTTAGGCTACAGTTAATATTGCTGTGTAACACTGTATGACTTATCAAAATAAAATCTCATCCATAATGGACTTACGGTGGTAGTTTTCCTTCAAGTGAATATTTGTAGTGCAGTCTATATTTGCAGTACTTAACATCTTAAGCCATATCGAATGTTCCTTAGGAAGCTTCTTGTCGATTGAATTTTAAAGGTTTTTATTCTGAGATAGTTGTGAGATAACTGCTGAAACGATTAACGCCAAAAAGCTAATTAATTTGCTATCATTATCTATGAAAATATTCATATAACTGTGCACCTAGGAGTGATTAACTCTGTGTGAATGAATTCACTTATATTCGGTCACAAGAATCACTTCCTTAATCTGTTATAATTATGAACTATATACAAATTGATGACAATTTTAGATTGTTTAAATTATTAGTTTAGAATGCTGTGAATTTTTTTTGAAGCTCAATTTTTGTGAAATCGTTTTTTAAGTAGATGATAAATATAGCAGCACTGAACGAACAGTGATCTATTCATATGCAATGGTTTGTGCATAGAGTTACATCATCAATACAAATTTTGTTCACTCCTGGTCAAGCTGATGTTAGTAATAGCTTCTTCTTAAATTATGCGTCTTTCTGAACTTCTTGTCTCTATCTTCTAGTTATCGGAGCATATTCCTAAATGACTCCAGAAGCAAATAGAATCTTCAGAACCCATTAATGATGAGAACAAGAGACCTAGCTCCTCTATTCCGAAACATATTATAGAGGGGACTGGGCATAAAATTGACGTTAACACATCTTTTAAACCTGTCAATAAAAGGTGTTTGGGGTGTATCCTAAAGTTTGTGGAAGCCCTAGTTGGCAATTAGAAAGTTTAAGTCACCTTTATGCGTTCAAAGCAGCAATTCGTCATCACACTAAATCACCCTCCTTGGTAAACTTTGTTTTGATACCGGCCAGGGTAGGTGTACTATTACCTCTGTTATTTGGTCTCAGTGATCTTTATTTTTATTTTGACCTTCATTATATATCCTTTTAACTTGACCTAAGTAGTCTATTTTCTTACCTCTTAATTCTCTATGTTAATTTCATATATACACGTTCCTATGACAAGTCCGTGTGTGACGAGATTATTCGAAATGTGTTGTGCAAATACATACATAACACGATTCAAACAAAATACGTCTTATTGCTTTATCTAAGTTCATAAAAGGAACTAATTGTTTGAAATATCTGTTTAACGTTATTCTCAGGTTTGATTTCTCTTAGCGTGGTGATTGCAGCATTGAGGAGCTTATAAACATTCGTAAAGTTCAATATGAAGAGTTTTAGAGAAGGCTAGGAGAAACTGCCAACAGTGAGGGAAGTTAGAAAGACTCTCTCTCTCTTTCTATATATATATATATATATATATATATGGCACGGGTTTCATCCCTTGCCGGCGCACACCTGATATCAGTGGTCGGCCTGCAAAATTTGGGCTACCGGTACCACATGCTGAAAATTCCATACCTGTACCAAACATACGGTGTGGAATCAAGCTATAATGGAGTTAGGGATATATGTCTCTTCACAACGATAGTTTACTTTCACTCTATACTATCGTTTACCTCACGTATCTAGTGTTAGCTCTACATTTCAATCTCCATTGACATGAAGTTCTATCATATTTTAAGGTAAATACAAAATAACCTGTGGTATTATTTTTTCTTTGTATTTGGAACCCTGTGTATGTCATAGTTGATGACTTTACATAGAATTCTGTGTCATGGAATTTTATCGACTTATTTCTGATAATTGGGTATACGTGATTTTAGCTTTGCGTTAGGGATGAACATTCTTCAACTGAATAAATTCTTAGTTAAACATTCTTGGGTATTTATATTTTTCTTGTTCTCTAGGCCAGTATCTACCATACAAAAATTACAACTTTCAAATTTGTATCCTTCGCTATTTTCTATTAAATAATTTATATTAGATACATATGTGTGTATATCATAATCTCATGTCTTTGTTACAGGCATTTCCATCAAACCTAGAATATAACTGTGAATACATGTAATGAACCCACAATGGACTCGTTTATTGGCGAATTTCAAAATACATCCAAGATTGTATCATGTTTCTGTACAGCGTGGGAATAAGTCCTACACAAAAGAGTCAAAACCAGTTCCTGGGAGCCGTGACCATAAAAATCCATTAGGATGGGCTAAACGCTTATTCCAGTTGAAAGAAATGACTCCAGTAGATCCTTCAACAACAACAACAAGTGAACCTCCTCTACTTCATATGGTCTGCCGTTTAAAACCTCTCAAGGGTGTTATGCATTATCAAAAAGCTATCCTTGAAAAATATGGTCTTGGAAAGGATACAAAGGTATGTGATAAAAACAAATAGTGCTCAGTTTATCCTTATATAGAATCACACTTGGGTAATTGTAAAAAATACGCCATCAGTTAATCGGGAGTTGTACGAAATAAAACATCTCGTTCGGATACAACCGGTGATTTTCGAAAATGGTTTACCAAGTGAAGCTGATTTGCTCACTTGTAAACTGCTTCCAGATGGTAGATTTTTCAGACATCGAGGTCTTGCTGTTGATGCCACGTTAACTACTGATTCTTCAAAATGTAATGAGACAAGTTTGTCGGTGTGTGATGGGAGTATTGCCAATGTTCCTAAGGTTAGTTTAAACATGTGAAACTAGTATTCAAAGTAATGCAGTTGTACCTTGTTTCAAGTAGAGTGGTAATAATAGGTACTGCTCATCTATCTTAGCTAAAACAAAAAAGATATTTTCTATAGTTGGTTTGTAAAGATTAGTTTTGTTTTTATGAGTTAATCACGGATTGTTATCAGTTAGGGAACTATTGAAAACCAGCACTGGAATACTGGAAAGCTGTTTTATCCTAGTTTGGGAATCATTGGCGGTACGCACCCACCGGACGGGGTTCGAGCCCAGGGCCTTTCGGTTTCAAGGCAAGCTCGTATACCATTCAGCCACTTAGGACCCGACTTTTCAATGGCTAGTCAATGAATTCTAACTTCTACCAGTTTGTGATTTAGCTCGACCCCAACCACTGTCGTAGAAACAAATCTTATCCTCGTAAACCAACTATAGAAAATTAATCTGATGCTCGCTAGTGACTTGCTACAGGATGGATTTTCCTGGAGTTATAGTGAGAAGTCGTGACCAGTGAGGTCCATCCAGATGTCACACGTGTGAGGATGGATGTCCCACCAACGACACTGGTTGGTGATCGCACTAAATCACGAATTGGCAGAAGTTAGAATTCATTGGATAGCCAGTGAAGAGGTGGGTTCCAGTGGCTGAATGGTATACGAGTTAGCTTGTCTTGTAACCGGAAGGACCTGGGCTTGAACTCCGCCCGGTGGGTGCGTACTGCCAATGATTCCCAAACTAGGATAAAACAGCTGGCTGTCCAGTACTCCAGTGCTGGTTTTCAGTGGTTCTCTAACTGATATCAATCCGCGATCAACTCGTAAAAACAAAATAGATAATCAAGTACGTTTGAATACAATTCATCACTTACTTTTAAGTGGCATATTTATTCATTTTTCACACGATAACATATAAACCTACTCTGAAAAATGGATTCTCATGTCCATCAGACAGTTCATACAGTATGGGTTGTACCCAAAGTTAGCACTGGCTAGAAACAGGCTATGTAATGGTGCAGACTACCTAACTTCTGGGCTTCATTAGTTACTTAAACGACTGTCAGTTCACCAGCTGGTACTATGATATCTAGCTAGGAAGCTCATTCACGACTGCATCCAGATCGTCATGCGTAGGCAAAGGTTACGAAAGCAGAACTCTTCTCCAACCGGTTCCTCCATAATCGGCGGTAATCTTTGAGATAGGACAGGATGTAAGCAACTGTTAATGGGAATCCAGTTGAGTAATACCACTCTTAGTGCGTTAACAACACCAGCTAAGTTGGATGCCGATGCTACAAGCTTCCCGGATAAGCTCATGTAGAACACACTACTCAAGTTTGTAAACGGAAAGAATGTTCACAGCCATTCACTGGTATCTGTTATTTAGATCTTTGAGGTGCGACGTTTATCAGCAACAAGGTTTCCCAAGGTATTGGCCAGACATGTCTAATTAGCATCAGTATGTGAACGTTGTAGATGATAAGCTTGGACGCAACAAACAATCAGAGTAGCTGTGTCATATATCACATTGAACGCAAAACATTACTGGTAGACTGAGATTTCAAATATTAATGGACGGTGCAAGACAGTAAGCGTACTAAAAATATAACGATAATGGATCAAATGTCTGAACACACAATTGACGAAGTAATCTGAGAAGACCATTCCATAGCGCTGAGATACTCCATAGTCACACAAAACTGGGGCCGGGTGATTGTGTTAAGAGACCATCCGCCGAGTCTTTGACTTGAAGTCTAATCCATATGACAGCAAAGCGACATCAAGGGTTTCGATTTCTCACCGTTACCAGTGGCCAAAACACATTCATACGTCAGGTTTGGCATCTGGGTTCCACGACTCATTTAGATGAACCCTTCGTTGACTTTTGTAAAGACAGCTGCTGATGCGTGGGGTCGCTTGATCCAGTAAAGAAATTTCGAGATAAAGACCCACGGTCGTCCCAGGTCATTTATGCGGATGCAGGGAGGGACACTTACACGCCTGTTTATATACAACTCGTATACTACACAGCCATGTTAGATATGATAGCGAAGATTTGTAGCTCAGGTGGATGATTTTGATGTGGTTGTGTTCTCCGAGCTGGATAGTTAATTTGCGAAGCTTTCATCGCCCTACTAGGCGACATCTTCAGCGCATACTTCAATTTGAAGTGAGCTTTTAGATTTCTCCACTAGTTTATTAATCATCTCTCCTGGTTGGTGACCTTCGACGTGATTTGTTGCTTTTGTGTGTTTTCACACCTAGGCTACTTGTATTGGAACTGATTGTTTCTTTGACTTGAACTTTGACCCTTTGTGTGTAAGGTTTCTTTTTTATCGGTTGATAAATTTTGTCTATCTCGATGTGTCTATTGATTGATGATTCACTGGAATGCCAAGCTTCTAAAAATTCTCTGGCTAGCTGTCTTGTTGTTTCCTCTGTCTAATATTTGAACGTTGTCCCAGTCGAATTGATGTCCGTAGTTGTCTGTGTGTAGTGAAATGAGTGATGGAGTGGATATCATGTCTTTTGGCGGTCAGCTTATGTTCATGCATACGAAGACGAAGGGGACGTTCAATTTGGCCAATGTAGTGTTTTTCGCAGTTGTTACAATTAATTTTGTAGATGATGTTGGTTTTATCTTCTTTCGTTGTTGAGTCTTTTTGTTGACACAGAATTGAGTGAAGTGACTTTGTTGGTTTGTGTACGACATCTTGTAGGGATTTCTGAGATATCCTTTATTTAAGACGTCGCCTAGTAAGGCGATGAAAGCTTCGCAAATTAACTATCCAGCTGAAAAGAATACAATCACATCAAAAACACACAGCCATCTTGATAGTTAGTATTGAAGTGAATGTACCGCTGATACCCGGTATCACGTTGTTATGTCCTCGTCGAGTAGTTAATAGTCCTGACGCGGAAAGAGGGAAATCAGAAGACCACCAGGTTTACGATGATACTTGTATTTTCCAGACAAGGAAAATAAATGTCACACTAGTGTATGAGTGAAATGGTACGAAATATACGAACAAGCGTGTGAACAAGAATAATAAAGCAAGAGTATATATGAAAATGGCTAATACACATGAACCAATAAGATAGCCAGTCTTAACATGATTGGTTGTAATGTCATGTGATAACAAGGTCATACATGTTTATTTAGTTAGCGGACAGACAAAAACATAGTGTCAGTTATAATGGAATATCGATCCATGTACACATAGCAAAATATAATAGACTGTCAAAAACAAAACACACATCATGTGGATACATATCACAAGTGTAAGCTACGCCTTTTATTTTGCTCCTTGCTAATCTCACTAGTCTAACTTATCTGATAATTTGCATTGCAGGTATTCCCGAATGTCGACGATGTTGGTGACTACAGATACTTAACTCGTAGATACTTAAGACAATGGCACAACAAAAAGTGGGAAAATTTTGAATTCTTCAAGAGTTTTTCACTTCACACTATAAGTATAAATTGAATCAAGATGGCAATGAATATCGTTACAGTGGCCTATGGCGTTTAGATAAATCAATCCTACAATCCGTTGAATCTCGACGAAATCCTGATGGTACTATGAAACAGCCGAATAACAATCGATTCGAAGCAGACTGGAATACCTATCCTTGGTCAAAATATTGAGTTTTACTTTTTGTTTTAAGACTAGGATGTAAAACTGGTGTTTCCAGTGTTTGTTTAGAAATTGTGTAAATAGATTTTGTAATTATGAAAAGTTATGATACAAGTAGTTGTGAATTTTATTTTAACTTTCTGATCTGTTTTTGACGCAGAACTTTGCACTGATGTGCACCAGTTCAAGTCGCCACACTCCCTCCTTATAGCACACAAACCAACAGGAGAAAGTGGAAGAAATGCATAATAGAGACAGTAAACAGAGGTGTGAGACAAAGGAACAGTAATGACGAAGAACAAAGCAATTTCATTGGAAATGATAAATCACAAGGAGTGGATGCATCTGCACCAGCCATTGAGATCGATTAGTTAGAGCCGCCAGCTTTCATTGGTCTTTACTGTCCGGAGGAACCCAACTGGTCAGGAAGTCTACACCTTCCTACGTGACTGGCTGGCTTAAACTAACTGTTGTGGATTTCATTGACTGATTACCAAGTGGTGTTTTGGTTTGACCGCCGCTAGCTCTTTTCAACCTGATCCTATGTCAGTCAGTTAATATCTCTCGTCGAGGAAGGCGATGACTAGGCATACGTACGTAACAAATGTTTTAACCATCTCAGTCGATCTAGCTTCACAGCCTCGTCGATTGATTTCGCCTCCCTCCTTACCTAGCACTCGACACCTAATTATTCTAACTTCATGGAATATAATTATTGAATTGAATTTTTGATTTTCCCGTCGATTGATTGGACCGAAGTGCTCGGTCTCAGGTTGACATGTCGGCTTCTTGTGCAGATGCTTCGACGATGTCTGGGTATTTAATTAGTATACAAAAATTCAGTTCAATAATTAATATGATCCGTTGCACAAGAGGTGGCTCTCGTGGCCCAAGTGGTCTAGTGGATAACGCTTTGGCGTTTGAAACTATGGGTACTGGGTTCGAGCCTCGGTGGGAACATCATCACTCACTGAGAAATGCAGGTACATTCAGCTGACGAGTCCCAAATAGGACGAAATGCGCATCCTAGATTCCACTGCTAGCCACCATCCACCAATTGTATTCATGGAATATAAGTTCAAATAGAAATTATTGTTAACAGAAATTAGATATGCATATATGTGGCCTTTAAGAATAAACTTTACCTTTGTGATATATGTATGAAAATAAATAGTTCAACAAAGAAGCTAATTTCAACGAATTAATTCGACATCTTAAGCTGTACAACCGCATAGTTACAAAAGTGATAAATTGTAAAAATCATAGTCGTCGATATTAATCGGTATATATTATAGTTCGCTTAGGTTCCTAGTGGGACTTCAACCTGCATTGGATTTTACTATCAAGAGAACCCGAACCAGTCAGGAAGTCTACACCTTCCTACGTGGCTGCCTTAAATTAACTGCCGTGGATCTCATTGACTGATGAGGACATGGTTTGACGAACACTAGCTCTTATCCAGCCTGATCCTGTGTCAGTCAGCTAATATTTCCTATTAATATATGTGTAAAACTTGGGCACTGTGTTAGGAAGTAATTCCATATTAGTTTGTTTATTAGATATATCACACACAGTAAAACACTGTTATTTACTGGATGACAAAGTTTCGAACACAATTCATCATTGTTCATAATCATTTCATCAATTATAATCACACAACTTCAAAACTTCAGTTTCATAGCTTTCTTTGTCTTCTCTTATTTGTCGTTGGGGTAGTAGATTTTTCCAGATATCTGGGTGGACAGGCGTTGAATTATTCCTATTACACGTATTCACTCTCAGTTGATTTGATGAACAAAGCTTCTGTTATCAATCTCTCCCTCCACTATGTTAGGTGTATAAAATTGTTTTATTGTATGATTGTGTGTATTTGCATTTAGTGAGTAGTGGTACAGCTGAACTAATCTCTAGAATTCTGATCTTATTCGGGTCAACCAATCTGGATTCTGCTAGGTTTTTATATTTGGCTAGTCTGATTGCCCCTGTTCTACTAGTTTGACCTGACAATCATTCCAGCAGCAGGCTGTTAGATAAACTAAATTGTTTTGTTTTAAAAGCTAACATTTCCTGTTGGTTGAGGAAGAAGATGGCTAGTCCGGGCATGCGTGACGCATGTTCTAACCATCTCAATCGGTGTAACTTCACAGTCTTGTCGATTGATTTCCCCTCCCTCCTTACCTAGCATTCGATGCCCAACCTGAATATTGTTTATCTTATTATACCACTTAACACACGGGGGAGATAGGACCCAGACACATATGCTGAGAGACAGGTAGCTAGCCTTTTCATGTCTTCTAGCTTCAACATCAGTGTTTCAGCCAGGCATAGAGGAAGGAAAGAGTGAACTACTGAGCAGTATACATGTCCTTTGGTCGACAGCTAGGGAGGGTAAGTTCCTGCTGATCCTTTCTGGTTATTTAGTCTTCAGTATGCAGTGAAGACAGACAGGTGTTTTGATGAAAGTTTGAAAGCTGTTGGAAATGCTTTCGGTGACGCGTTCACTCAGTCTCTCTCTCTGTACCAGATAGGAAGCACTAACTAACTTTACATTAGAGTTGAAAAATGTGAATCTTGTTATTGTTTAATTCCTAGTACAGTAGATTTTCACTAATCTATAGCAGTAGTTAAATAATGGTTGTTAGAATTACGTATTGAGATAAGTAGTCTAATGAATGAGTGGTAATCAGAATGTGAATAGAAACAAGGAAAAATGTGATACTACACTAAGAGTTCAAAGGAAATAGAAGGGTGAAACAAAATTTAAGAAAAAAAATAAACTACCTAAATTTGCCTCCTCCTCTATGATGTTGCTGCCTGCTGTTGTTCAGGAATCTTCATCACCACCTCTGTTTTCTCTATGTTTACTTGAATTCCTATCTCTTCAATGTTTCTTCCGCCAAATTGTTAAGGCTTAATGATACTACCTCATCGCTAAAATCGTGGTATTAGGAGCAAGGTGGCACAGCCTGTGACTCTAGTTTGAAGTTGACGGTACAAACCTAATAACTCGGCGACGATAGAGTATGAAAACTTCAGGATGTGATGAAAATAGTCTACTTTTCGTATTAAAGTATTCGCATACCATTAGTACAACTTATTTGGGTATATAACACCTGTGAATTTTATAGTAAAGTAGTAGTTAATGAATTTATGGAAACCTCTTTGTGCGAGACAAATCAAAAGACAGGATGAATAAAAATAGAAATTTTGATCAGTAAAGTTCACTTTTAATAAAGTTTGTCTGTCTGTTTCAAACATAGAACTTTGCAGCAAATACCCTTCTACAAATACAACAATTTATATATGTAGAAAATAAATCAGTTCATATAAATTAATATACACACTAAATGCAGTTCTTTGAAAAGTTATAATTATCGCAAAATACTCAGATACAGATGTAAAGAATGGTAGGGATGAAATTGTCTTTTTCTTGGGTATACAAATGTTCAACTACACGTAAGAGATGCCAACGGCGGGAAGCTGCTTTCTTAGAGAAAAGTAGATTGGAGCAAGGATCCTAATTTGGATGTGTTGATCAGGTAGGAAGTAGAGTTAGTCAACAGATGGGGAAAGCGAAAAGCTGAAGAGGAAAGACACTACGTCCGTGTATTCCGCTCGGAACCAAGTAGTGTCTTAATTCAATCTCAAGTAACAACCATGAACTACTGTGGATTCATTACTTTTACTATTTTACGATGAACGTATAATTTGATATTTTTTGGCCTCCACAGGCTATTAGGTTCCGTTCCAGTGGCTGAATGAGCTCGCCTTGCATCCTGAAGGTCTTGGGTTCACTCACCGATGATGTCATGGAAGCGTACTGATGAAGAATTCGGAGCAAGTACAAAAAAAACTGCCGTGTACTCCCATATTTCCTATGGTTCTCTGACTGAAATCAGTGCACGATCAATCTTGAAATGTATGAATGCAAGAAAATTTACAAATCAGTAGTTAAACTGATGACTGTACTATAATGGAAACCCCGTAATGTATTGGCATTGGCTACTGCTGTATGAACTTGAATTTTCGTGCTATGAAAGGTCTACTACTGCGGTAAAAAAAGGGAGTATTCGCAGTTCGATATTATCACATCTGGTGCAGATAGAGCATAAAACCAACACAGAAGAAACCTTTTCTGTTGCCTGTCGTGTGCTTAAATAAAATTCCAAAAGCCATTAAGTGTTGGGTACTCCAGAAGTCAAAAGTCATAGTGTAACCACAGAAGACAAGGGCCGGGCAACAGATCCTTTATTAAGGAAATCAACACATATTTATAGATTTTCATGTACATTATTAGAGATTATTGTTAGCAGAAAAACACAGTCTTCTGATTGATTGTTTCGCACAGAAAGTTAACCTTGCATCTCTTTGTGGCTGTTTTTTGAATGTCAGATCATCTATATGCTAACTACATCCGCCTATGCAAAGTCTTTATTCCTATTTTTCTCACGACCAATATTGGGGACATAAACATTGAAGTAAAATACTGTCCACCAATTCTGAATAACAGGCAGCTCTCACCACAATAAGAGTTTGCTTAAGACAGCTAAAATTTGTGTACGAAATGGACAAGTCCAGACACTGCTAATATCCTAGCCCATTGTGAGGATAATAAATTCACATGTACTCTATTACGTCAGAAATTTTAAGTTTATTTGGTTATTCACTTGCACACTATTTCATTCACACAAAGATTATCATCAGACTGAGAAATTTATTTTGATTGGACACTAACTAGTAAGTAATGTAATGAGAGTAGTTCCTTTTTTATTGTAGTCAAGTTCGCAACGTGGCCAACAAGCTATGTGGCTTGTCATCACGCTACATTCATAATGACGACTTTTCTTATTTATTACAGCTTGATTCCATATAGTATTTTGGTACAACTAAGGAATTTTCAGCATATGATATCGGTAGGCCAAATTTAGCAGGTTGACCATTGATATCGGGAGTACGTCGGCTGAGGATCGAAACCCGGACCATGTGCATGGTTGACCAGAGTTCTAACGGCCGTTTAATGGACCAGTCGTTGAGGTCGACCAGTGGATAGGGTTGAACAATCTCAAAGCACCCAACCGTAAGGGAGAAATACAAGTAATTCCTTTGGTCTCATTTTAGAGACCATTGTAG